ATAGATATATATATATATATATATATATATATATATATAGTATTGATCTACAATAATAATTTACTAGGTTACGCAAACAAAATACGATAGAAACGCTACAAATAAATTACTCGGGTAATTATATAGAACAAATAAATTTATAATTACTTTGCTAATATATTAGCCGGTTTGTGCGGATACGCGAACAAGAGAATCCAAACAGCAAAATGCGGGTTAATGGTGTTAAAATACAGATAACAAAATTCATTTACTTTATTTCGATATTATTATTATTATTATAACCCTCAAATAAATAATCAATGTAATTTTGTTATAATATATCTAGGGGGACATGCGTCAATCCCTACAGTTTTATAAATTCTTGTGCGTATATATATACATATATGTTTGCATTTTGAAATCAAATATTAGATCAAAGCGTCCCCAAAATAAAAATATTTAATTTATCATTTCAAATTTAGGCGGTTTATATCGGTTTTTAATTAATTTTACCCAATCATTGGTTCATTATTGTTTTTTTAATTGTAATAACTTTTTTTTTAAATTATTAGTTGTTTTTTTTTTCTTCTGTCAAAAGTTAGAACTTTTCTCGCGGTGATTCGTGCCTCGAAGGTTGAGAATCACTTTCCTCGGATTACACACAGTCAATACAAAATTGAAGTTTTTTTTTTGTACCCAAGAATAATTTGCTTACAAAAAATATATTATATTATTTCAATTTTTTTTTTTAAAGATTGTAACATGTATCATTATGCCTATTGGCTATAGCTATTGCCCAACACAAGAAGTGCGTCTTTTGGGGTCTCTTTTATTGCAGCAAAACACACTGATAGGGAAATTTCGGACACATAAATAGCATTTTCCATCTTACCGGAAAAAGACAAAAACAACAATTTTCAGCTAATAGCAATTTTCTCAAAGCAACAACAATTGCGAAAATAAGAAAAATGACAAAATGATAATAATAATAATAATAATAATAATAATATGCGTAATTTGTGAAGAAAAAAAAACAAATGTATAGATTTTTTTAGATGTTATAAATGTTCATTATCAGATTTTAAAAAAAAAAACTAACACCACTAGTCTTAGGTTCCTCTTAAAATCTTGGCAATTCTAAAAAAAAAATTTGGCCAAACTAATAATTATACGATTTTAAAGTATTCAAGTAACTACCAACAAATTCGCTTATTTCTAAATTTGGAGAAATAGTTATTTTAGTTTACACTTCTATCCTAATTGGAAAAAGATTAAACGATTTTTAGAAAACACAACTGATATAAAATATACATGTGAACACTATGATTCCGTTATATGTGGTTAACTCAAGCTAATCAAAAAACACGTATTCATGATATAATTATAATTGAATCTTTAAGAAACGTTAATAACATACAATATACGCTGAAAATAATTCCTTAAAGAGTGGGTAGTTTTCTTAATCAAAGAGAATATAAATAAAAGCCAAATAAAATACAAAATAATATATATATATATATATACAATGAAAAATTTTAAAAAAAAAATCTAAGCTAAAATAGCCTAAATCAAATATAACTCAATTTTAAAATGTACATCCCACCGATAATAGAATCACTAAAATGTCAAATTCTGATCACTATTCTAAATCAAACATTTGACTAGTTTTCTATTCTAAATTATACCAAACTTTTTACAACCTTTCAATATTAACGAAAATTATTGAGGTCGGATATATTTTTATTTCAAAAACAGAATTCAGATTGTTTTATTCTTCCTTCTCCAAGAAAATATAAGAAACTATAAAAAATCAATGACTTTTATACAAAAATAAAATTTTAAAAAAAAAGTAGAAATTAAATGTCAGATATATTTGCAAAGGGAAGCGAATTGGCCAAATCTAATTGACCCTTTTACATAAAAAGGAGGTTTGGCCGTTTGGGGACCAAAATAGCCTTGCAGTCGCAGGGTTTGCTGGTCCATTTCCATGCCACTGTTTTTTGAATTTCAAATCTCCTTGTTTAATTAATCCATAAAACATTATATTCATATACTTGACGGGATTAACTAAAACATTATTAATCATTAATTACATACAACGGTAGAAAAATGATATTATTTTTTGTATACAAATATCTAAAGTTTTTTTTGCATTATGATAAATACTAAAGGTCGCAATATCAGATTTCGGTTTGGGTATTAATTTTTCTATTCTGTTTGTTTTTTTTTTACTTCTATAATTTGATGATCACATCACATGCTTCATTGAATTTTTTTTAAAAAAGATAACTATAGATGAAATTATTTTTTCGGAGTCTGTAAAGTATATTTTAGATGAAATATGTAAATGAATATTACTTAAACTTGTTTTCGTAAATCAATTAACCAGAATTCATTTTATACTTACAAATCAACTGGAAAAATCGTCGTAATTTTTTTTTTTGTTAAAAGTCGTAGTTTATTAAAATTATGTTTAAGGTTATCCCAGGTATATGAATTCTTCATGCAATATTTCTGCAATATAAAAGAAAATATCCTATAAATAAAGCAACTTAATTTGAAATTGTTGAATTTCTATTATTGAGAATTATTGCAGAGAATGACAGGTGGTGCCTTTTTGGTACATCTATTAGGAAAATAAATTGGAAAATTATTATTTTTTATCTGTTGAGATTATAATTTTTTTTTTTCTGCAGCTTCATAAATACTCTTCTGAGAATTCAAAGGACCGTACGCATGCATAATTAAATTCTACTTGATGTTATTCTACGTAATACGGGGGAGGGTGTTTATAGCGAAAAAAAGATTTTTTTTTTCTGTATTAGATTTGATGAAAACCTAAATGTGGTGTTCTCTTTCAATTTTTGAATATTTCAAATTATACAAGGAAATAAAAATATATATTTATTCAAAAATATTGAATTAAAATTTCAACATTTATCGGTAAAAATCATGATATACCGGCTGAATATAGTGTTATTTTAATAATTAATTTAGATTAAAATTTGGTGAATGGATAGAGGGAATCTAATTTGAGTTGAAGGTTCCAAGAGGGCAAAGACACGCAAGACTTTGAGGCGGGGTCATATAACTGCCAGAGAATCGCATTTAATTTCAAGTAACATATATGTGTATATATATATATATATAATATTTGGAATTAGATTCCTACATTTCAAGATGTTGAATTTAGCTTCAAGACAAGAAGAAAATCCCTTTTCTCCTTTTTTTTTTTATTTTATTCATGAATTTAGTTTGATACCATGAAGTTTTGCTCTGAATCACATTCGTACCCATAATGATTTCTCCCTTCTCAAGAACTTCAAATTCAACTGATTTCATCACCAAGATTCTCTTAACCTGTGATACATACATGCATGTGCATGTATGCATGCATGTGCATGTATGCATGCCTGTATGTATGTATGTATGTATGTATGTATGTATGTATGTATGTATGTATGTATGTATGTATGGAACGAGTCAAGTAGCAAAATTTTTTGTAAATTAGATAAAAATAATCTTTTATAAAAATTCTTCGAAGGACGATTTTTTTAATTATTAAACAAGAGTACCTTTAACGCTAAACTATATTTAGTAACAAATAATGCCTAGTAAACGAACCGATTTGAATTTCATGGACATATATATATATATATTATGAATATTTAGACATATCTTGTTAATTATTGTATATTGTGTTTGAAATTGTAGAGAGAAGTTTGAATACGAGTCGGCGTTTTGTCATTTGGATTATGTGAATATAATGAGTTAACGTCAAAGTGGCTCGTGTGGTTTTTGACCCTTTTGCCTTTGACATGTTTTTGGCTCCAAACCAAAGTAAATGTTATGAATGTGATGCTCTCTGGAAATTCAACTTCGTGTGTTTTGCCCCAAAAAAGAAATTGCAGACGACAAGCATTTCGTGCCAAACTATGAAACGACAACCATTTTACTTTTTTCCTTTCAAATTTCAGGGAAGATAGAGACAAAGAGAAAAAAAAAATGCTAAAATATAATAATATCAAAATGCGAGATAGCCAAGGCGTAGTCTTACGTCATGCTTCGAGAAACGGCACGCATTGCGACCTTGGTATCTTCCGTTTCACAAACACTAATTACACATGCATCTATATACAATAAAAATTCTGATTTTTTATTTGATATTAGAATCACAAGACTCTTTATAGTGTGTGTATGTGTGTGTGTGTGTATATATGGGAGATGATGGTGCTTTTTAGATTACATGAAAAATCACTTTTTTAAACCCATAAAAAAAAACTAGTTATGAACCAAAAGATTATAAACCTTTTTGTCAAAAAAAAAAAAAGATTATAAACCTAAAATATTATAAATCCAACTGAATTGATTTTCAATTTGGAGGGGTGTGGAAAAGGTGATCCAATCCATTTCAACCCAATCTATTTGGGTTTTATGATTTAATAAATTAGTTTAATACAAACCATTAACAATAAATTTAGAATTATATTGATCGGTCTAATCCATTGAACTCAATTAAATCAATTAGTTTATCAATCAATCTACATATTGGGTTCGGCTAAGTTTGAACCCAAGACCAACATCGGTTATCCCAAAGGCCCAAAAGACATCTATATGACACATTTTGGGCTTCAATCATATGGCCGTTATCTTCCAATTGAAGTTATGTTATTGACCACAATATCGCCAAATTATATATTACGATTTGTTATTTTTGTACGTCTAATTAGTACTTTATGCAAAATACTTGTTTATAACAATAAGAATATTCTCAATATTTCTCAAATCAGCTTTATTCCAATTTTTTTTTTTAATTTCTCAATCGTTCTCACAACCTTAAACAATAAACACTCATCACAAGTCACACAAAATCTACAATAACCACTCGGATGATAAGAGAAGTAGTCGAAGCAGAAGTTCGAAACTAGACCCTAGCAGGATGGAACCCACTAAGACAATCATAAGAACAGATGTACCGACCAGAGCCGTCACTTGTCTTCAGCATCAAGGACATGTTGCTACGAGAGCGACACACATGGCAGCAAGGCCCGGAGATTGAATCATTGGCAACCACTTCGAAATCGCATTCCGAGATCACATCATTTTTGAAGCCCCAAATGCTGTAAGGATCCCAAATCCTGTCAGGATCATACTGACAGTGCGTGATTATTGTTCCTTCTGTCAGCCCTGAGAAATCTCCTACCGTGCACTTGACGTGTGAAGCTGTGCTGTAATGGCCGTTGGCGTAGAACCATTTCTTCAGATCTAGTTTTTTCTTACAGACATGACACTGAAATCGAACAGATACGTTTCCCCCATAACGTAGGAAGAGTGGATGATCATTGGACTCGCGTCTGGTTACCATTTTGGGTAAAGTGGCACAACCGTAGTCTAGAGCAAAGTCACAATCCGGGATGTTGCATCTAAACCCTAAGTGACAAGTTTTACCGCAAGCATTACAATACTCATCACGACCCAGTGGGCAGCACACTGAAAAGCAGTACAATGCATGGGGGTGACTGTCATGGTTTAGTGGTTCGGAAATAGAGATGCATTGTACATCGAAACAGAGAGAACCGGAGGAGTACCCGAAACCGGAGGAGTGTCGCTTACAAGCATCACAAGTGAAAGAACCTTCCGGAAAATTTTCACTGCTTGTCAGAGTAAGCTTTGTGGTAGACAAGGGATGTCGCTTTGTACGAGGAAGATTGGCACATGTTTCGTGAAGGACAAAGTCGCATTGTGTACAACTGTAGAACGGATCCGTATCAATAGGACGAACACAAGCTCTGCAGTGTATGTTGTCCTGGCAGACATTGCCATCGTTCTTGAGCCTGAGTTCGTGTTCTTCGTGACTGAAATGGTTTATCAAATTGCCATTTACAACTCTGAATGGCTCGGTATCTTCCATTTCGTCGGGTTTCCCTTTGAGTTCTCTCCCGTCCCACACACGGAAGCCCGTTGCACAAATAGAATGAACAGCGAAATTATCGCATGAAACACAAACGTATGCTTCACTGGGTCCATCCAGCTTGCCGTGACAAACTCCGCAGAACAAATCTAACCCGCGATCAAAAAGATAAGTGCGATGAATGGGGTGATCGTGACGGTTATTGTTGATGAGAAGAGGTAAATCGAAGCAAGTTTGATGGAATTTGATGTCACATTGATGACAAGCATATGGACTCCTATATCCATACTCCCCACAAGCGTCACAAGTAAAGCTCATGTTTCCAGGCAAGAGGGTGAGTTCATGCTCGTGGGTTTTAGGGCTTACGTAAGAAAGTGGTGGTGGGTACTTTACACAAGTCAGATCCAAGCTGTAATTACAAGCTGAACAGTGATAAAGCCGTCCATTCTCAAACTCTTCACCACAAAGTCCACACTTGCCATCACTGTAATGAGGTTCGCCATTCTCGAGGAACCTAAGAGGGTGTGGATGGGAAGGGTGGGTTATTTCTGGATAGAGGGAGATACAGCCGATGTGGCAGAAGAAGTAACAATGATGGCACATATAGCAATAACTGTGGGATTCACCTCCGCAGACATCACAGGTGAATCCCATGATCTGTGTCACGAGGGTGAGGAAACCTCGATGATCCATAGGGTTTTTGATAACGGGCATGGGTGGATCTCTTGCACAACCAATGTGAACATAGATGTGACATGTAAAACAGTGATAACTGACCTCCGATATGTAATCGCCACAAAGATGACAGGTTTTCTCGTGATCATGATAAGTGCCAATGAAGTGGAGAGGATGTTGGGGATGAGAAGAGAGGGTGATCTGCAATGGAGATTCGGCGCATTCCTTGTGAAGGAAGAACCGGTGACCGTAGCACTCTGAACAGCGGTAGCCATCGGATGAGTAAGCCACTTTAACGCAGCCGGCGCAAAGGAGACCAAACCCGCCTGAACGATGCAAGGGATGCTCGTGGTAAGGAAAGCTTACCTCGTCCATGGCGGATGTTTGGGACTGGAAAAGATTGAACCTCCCTCTCTCTCTCTCTCTCTCTCTCTCTTAATTTAACTATGAATAGCAAATCTCTCTCTCTCTCTCTCCCTTTGTCTCTCTCTCTCTCTATATATAAATTATGAAGCATCCGAGTGTCTTCATTTTTCATTTTTAATTTAAACTTGAAAAGATTTACAATATGAAGTATTATTTCTAATTAGATTAATGCAAATTGATATTAGATATATGGGAAAAAAAACCGTATTTGGTACGCATAAATGTTCAGCTATTTTATTAAAATTAATAGACAAAATGATGATTAAAAGAAACCCCAAATTGTTGTAGACATAAATTAATTGTCCGAAAAAGGCTATCAAGTTGATTAACTGCTTTAACTTAGACAACTAAGTCAACAATCCAAGTTTTTGTTTATCAACTCCACCATTGATAATTCCATCTTCACGCGGCACGACTCGCTTTCATTGACTTATATATACATATACATATATATATATATGTTGATTTTACCAAATAAATAAATAAATATATATATATGTTTTCACATGAACGATATAGAGTGTTTCAATTTTTTCACGGGCATCTCAACGTATATATTTTCTGAATGTGGTTTGCTTCGGTCGACTTGTAGGCTACAACGATTGAACAAAAATAATTTGAGAGACAATAAATATAATTAGTATTATTCTCCTCTTTATTCAGCTAGGGTTAGTATCATTCTCCTTATTCGATAGATTAAGTATATTCCGGTTATGTGAACATTCTTTATACATATATATATATATATATTGTTGTGGAATAGAAAATGCAACAAATTATTTCATAAAATTTTGGTGGAGTAAAGTCTTTTCTGTTTATAAATACATCAAGTTGATCAACTGTTGCACAAACAAATAAGCTTCGGATTTTAATAAATTAAAATAAAAAAAGAATAGTCGTTTTATTTTATTTGCTACTAGTAGTAGTAGTGCCACACACGTGTGAGCGGATGGAGCCTAATAACATGACAAGCTATCCTACAAGGAAAAAAAAAAAGACAAAGGTGAAATTTGACGCAGTTATGATGATACAATAGATTCTCATATCTCAATATGTATTGACAAACTATCCTACAGTATGCATATATATATATATATATATATATATATATATATATATATTGTAATTGATAATAGGTATTTGAAAATTTCACCGCATTTTTTGTGAACCAGCCTGGTTCATTTACGTCATGTTCTTAGACACAAAAAATGAGAGTGTTATTGAATCAAATTGATTTTAGATTTCATAATCGTTTGGTTATAGTTTTATTATTGCTATAAACAATTTCGAACCTAACCGAATTCAAGTCATGTTAGTAACCAAATAACTAAACCAAACCGATTTAATTTTTATAAAATTTCAATTATTATTTTTCCATCGTATTATTCAAAAACCAACTCGAAAACCGAACTGAATCCGAAACGTCGAAATGTTATTTCAATCACACATTCTCTTAATCGATTGTCAAAGTTCTTAAACTGTTTTTGTGTTTTACTTTTGTATCAATATAGTTAGGTCTATTTTCTTTCATATCCTAAAGTGTAATTACTGCATAGAGAGTTCAATAAATAGAATGGTACCATAAATAAATTTTGGTAGAAAACATAAAAACGAAATAGAAAAAATTGGAAATCGTTTTAAACATTTTGAAGAAAAAAAAAAGAAAAATCGCTTCCACAGCTGTTTTGCTTGGCTTAATTGCAACGTGTTCTTGGTGTTAAGCAAAATGGTTGTTGAAGAACACCACTATATATATATATATATATATATATATATTTATATATAGGAATATATAAAAATAAATAAATATATATATACCTAATAAGTTGAAACTGCACTCCTCCATTTCATAACCTAATCTATATAATAGAAAGTTGCTCTTGTTTTTTAACTAAAGGGAATGGTTCAAAGCCATTTCATTTGCGTTTATTTATTAGCTATGATGTGTGGAAGATTTTCCGTACATGTTATACTTTAAAAAAAAAAAATCAGAAAATCACCTTATGTCTGTAATTTTGAATTTAAGATAGAAGTACGTTTACTTTTAATTTATCGTATTAAAGAACTTCATTTTAATTAAAAATTACGGTTTCAAAAGTATAAATGCTGATACATTCACCTGAAATTTCATACATTAAGGAATATTCATAGGTAGCTTGGTAAAAAAATATATTAACATTTCGAAAATTACGCATGTAGAGAGTAGACTATATAGATAAATAATTTTTTTTGAAAAAACAAACAATGTACAACAAATATTCAATTTTAAAGTGCTCAAAATAACTGTTCGGGAAATTTGTGTAAAATGTTTTTAATGAATTTTCAAACTAATGAATACGTATTTTTATAGTATAAAATCGAACTTCACACTTGGCGGCAAAAGAAACACTTGTACGCTTCTTCATAATTCATTTTTTTCTCTGCAAGAATGAAATTATTCGGAATCTGTTTCCAACGAGAATGCATTCTACATTCATTTTTTGCAAAGATAGCTATTTAAGGGAAAATCTCAAAAAAATTACCGAACTTGGAGATAGCTGACATATTAATACCGAACTTTTCAAACTTATAAATTAAATATGAATTCGTCGATTTTGACACAAAAAATACTGAACTTGTAATTTTTTGACAAAAATCTCATCGACGTTAAACGGATTTAAATCGACTAACGGTTAATCTGACGTGGCGGATGACTCAACGTCTCGTCATCCGCCACGTTAGAAATTAAAATTAAAATTAAAATTAAAAATTTTAAATAAAAATAAATAACTAAAAATTTAAATTTAAAATTTAAAATTTAAAATTGAAATTAAATATTAAAATTTAAAATAATAAAAAAATAAAAAACAAAAACAAAAACAAAAACAAAAAATATACAATATACAATATACAATATATATATATATAAACATATATATACACACATAAAATAGTAACTATTAAATGTATATATTTAATAATATATACATATATACATATACATATATATGCATTTAATAGTTACTATTTTATGCATATGTATATATATGTGTGTAAATTTTGATATGTTTATTGTATTTTTAATTATTTATAATTTAATTACAATTATTTTAATATATATATAGTTATGTATATATTGTATATATATTGTATATTTTTATATATCTATCTATATACATAAATATATATATATATATACATATGAATTTGTGGATGTAAGTATATATATGTTTATGTATATATATAAATAAATATATATATATACACATATACATATTTAATTTTTAATATTATATATATATGTCTATATATATTGCATATATATTTTTATTTTTATTTTTATTTTTATTTTTTTATTTTTATTTTTATTTTTTATTTTTATCTGACGTGATGAATGACGCGACGTTGAGCCATCCGCCACGTCATATCGTCCGTTAACTAATTTAACGCCGTTTAATGTCGATGAGGTTTTTGTCAAAAATTTACAAATTCAGTAATTTTTATGTCAAAATCGACGAATTCATATTTAATTTGGAAGTTTGAAAAGTTCGGTACTAATATGTGATCTATCTCCAAATTCGATAATTTTTTTGGGATTTTCCGGCTATTTAATAATTTATAAAATAGTTTATTTTACAAGGAAAAAGTCATTAGATAAAAAATATAAATAAAAAATTGCAAAGATATGGCCAGACGGTGTGGACCCCACAGCTGTCGTCCGAGCTCCAACTCCCCGCCTCCTGTTGAAGTTTCTTCCTCATCTTGTCTTCTTCACAGTTCAAACCACACACGATCTCTCCTCCATTTTTTACATAAATTTCTTGTTATATCTAACTTTGACCAAAAAAAAAAAAAAAACTGAACAAAAATCTCTGCATTACGTTCTCTATCTCTGTATTCACACTTTTCCTTACACCAGGGGAAAGAAAGTCGCCTCAGAAGGCCAGAAAGGCAACATGTCGTCCTCGGCTCCGCCACCAGGAACGACTCCGGCGCCAATTCCGCCGCCGGGAACGACCAACACCACCGCATCTCCTCCTACGCCGGTCACCGGCTCTCCCTCGCAACCCACAGCATCACCACCGCCTCCTCCGCCGACTCCCTCTTCTCCTCCTCCCCCGTCGACAATCCCCACACCTTCTCCTCCGCCTCCGGCAACACCGTCTCCTCCGCCTCCGGTGATACCGCCTCCCACTTCCACGCCGTCTCCGCCGCCGCCCG